ATACAGTATGTTAATATGAAAGAAAATAATTCACATGTTTACATGTAGTTCAAATTACTAGAAACCATAATTACTATGTCCCATACCCATTAAGTAATTTTTATTGGTGACCTGTTCCCTGCAATGTCTGAGGGCAGAGATTTTAGTCTGTTTTTCTCAGTGATGTATCCTCAGCACTGAGTACAATTTGTGGCACATAGTTGGCACACAATAGATACTTGGTGAATTGATGTATTTATTGAATGAATTATTTTAGGATAATCTCCTTAACACAGCATTCTATGCCCTTTGTAATCTGACCCAAAGTTGGATCTCTCACTTAAATCCCATTGATATAATATAAAAATTACCTTTAGACTAACAATTATGTGTTGCTGCAACAATTGTCTGTAATGGTCCTTTGAGCATAGAGCCTGTGGAAAGAACAGAGATCTTGTAAAAATGAAGAGAGAGAACTGACACAGAACCATGGAGGGATAGGGTGGGAATTAGGTAAGCGGGGAGGAGAGAAGAGAGAGTTTCAGATTTAAAAAAAACAGAACCTAGGTAAATCTCTCCTCTCCCCTAAAAATGTATTCTCACTTCATTATTAAGCCCATAGGTACTTCAACTCATAAAGAGATGTGCTCCATATTTTCCTTAAAAATGCTGATGTACATGGGGCTGGCCCCGTGGCCCAGTGGTTAAGTTCGCGTGCTCCGCTGCAGGCGGCCCAGTGTTTCGTTGGTTCGAATCCTGGGCGCGGACATGGCACTGCTCATCAGACCACACTGAGGCAGCGTCTCACATGCCACAACTAGAAGGACCCACAACGAAGAATATACAACTATGTACCAGGGGGCTTTGGGGAGAAAAAGGAAAAAATAAAATCTTTAAAAAAAAAAAAAAATGCTGATGTACATTTGATCTGTTAAAGAGATTAAACATGTATTAGATTTTGATGAATTATATGTGGACCTTGCCTCTATAGCCCTCACACCTACCCATGCTTTTTAAGTGGCTCAATAAACTTTATTCCTCGTTTTTAGGGGTCAAAAACAAAAATCAGACAACCACCCATGAACTTAACAGTGTAATACCTGAAATCTTAAAATATTCAAAGCCATATCTTTCCTTTTAGTAAATGCTTCACAAGCGCTTAACTTGTAAATGAGAATGCTCTCAATTTGCTGTCTCTATTATTTCATTAAGTATTGCTTTTCAATATTTAATCTCTCTTTCTCTCACAGTGATCACTTATCGGTGGCTAACTTCAGGACTTGCTATATTTTTAATTCTGTCAAAAATTCAATAGAGACTAAAAGGAAAGAGAGAAAGAGACCCTGGGGTGACTTTGGCTTTTAACATTGGAACTCCCGGCACAGCCTGTGTCTGAGGCAACCCTGGTGGTCTATCAGTATTGTATACACCTCTTCTGGTTGGGCAATAAACGACATTTGTGGATTTGTCAGTGACCTCTCTCCTTTATGCACTGCCAGTCTCCAGTGTCATCATTAATTAGTCTTCAGTGCTCCCATTTGTCTGCTGGAAAGCACCTCGGATAAGCCAAGTTAATAAGTTGGAGTAGGCAAGCTGCCTGGCCACCAGAACGCACGAATGTGCTCAGCCGGTTGGAGGGCAGCTGTCTGCTTTGATCGTGTGGAGAAGTTTAATTCTAAGAGGCCATGTGGGAGGCCGGGCCCGTTGGGGTGCAGAGAGGACCTCCAAGCACAGCAGGGGAGCTGCTCTCCTTTGCGCTGGTTTCAGTTTCTAATTTCAAAACCGCGAGGCTCAGAGGCCTCGGGCACTTGTTTCACCTTTTGCTTCATCTTTCCCAGGAGTTTCTTCAGTGAATTCTCATAGCAGGTGGTGGAACTTCAGCAAGGGAACAAAAATCATTGTCACTATGTGCTAAACAGGAGATTTGCACTGGAGCATGCTTCGGTAAATATGGTGTGCAGCATTTGTAGCCGGTAATCTGTAGCCGTGACCCTCTTGCTGTTGTGGCTGTGACATGTTTCCTGACCAATTGTACTGAACCATAAAAATAACAAATAATAAGTATGGGGCCACTTGCCTGGTGTTAGGCATTCTGCAAACCACTTTGCAGGCATTATCTCACTTAATTATCGTATCATGCCTATGGGAGGGGGTCCCCATTTTGCAGATGAGAAAAGCCACAACCCAACTGACCCCAGGTAGGTCTCAGTGCAAACACAAGCCCTTTACGAAGCACTATATGGCCTCATCAAATCTGAGCGGTTTGATGGACCCCGTGGGCTCTGACACCATAGCCAGGACAAAGGCAGGACAGCAATGATCAACTCTTAATTTAGGCAAAAGGGGAGGTTTTGCTTTTCTAATTGGGAAAGAAGCTCTGCTTTTGTCTTCACTTTGGCCAGGGAGAAGTAACCTTGAAGAAGTCGCTGTCCTGGCTTCAGTTATGTCCTATTGACAAAGTGCTGGCATGTCTCACCATGTATTATTTGTATTCATGAAAAATAGTTCTCTAAAAATGGAATTGTTGGAATTTGAATGTGATAGAGGCCTAGTTAGAGAATTTAAAGGACTCTCTCAATTTATATTGTGAGAAAGTCTAGCTTTTTTTTTTTTTTTTTTTTTAAATAAGGCTACCTGTGTTCTCAGCATCATAGCTGGATATCAGCATAAAAGTTTATGTGGCCATGAAAATTCATTGAAAAATGCCCATTTTTGAAAGCAAATATCTTTCAGAGTGTTTTTGATCAATCTCCTGCTTCTAGGCCTAGCCTGAGAGCTATCCAATCAGGAAGATTATCTTTGCTGCCCTGTTTCTGCCTTAAAGCATGAAGTGGTGGTTGTTTTGAGGGGATTTTAGGAGACATTGAGCTCTTTCGGATCAGCTTGGGAAGTCATAGTGTGTGCAGAGTGAAGAGACTGGAACCCCTGATGTACCTTTTCTGGAAAGGGAGGGAAGAGGGAAGGGACGAGGAGGTCACACTGCACTCCTGGAAAGCCTACTCTGAGTCTGGGTCAACAATGCTAACTTTTTTCAACCTTCTTCCACATGGGAATCTAGTTAAGGTGAGGAAATCAGAAGTGTTGGCCAGATATGCATGGAGCTCTCTGGAGAGGTTTGGGGACAAGCAAATGAAACCTGCATGATGACTTCTCAGGGATTTTTATAAGTACACAAATAAAGATAATTAAAGGTAAAACATAAACGCTAAACAGAAGGTACTGTTGATGTTTGAAGGATGCAAAAGCTTTGGATTGCAAAGGGCTTTATGGTGATGGCAGCAATGCAGGGAAACTTTTTAGGATGAACAGGACTTTGTCAAATACAATGGAAAGTATGTATGGGATGAGAGGAGAATGGGTAGAGAACCACATGAATGAAGACATGGAACTGGGAATGTTGGTTGACATAATCTAGAAACATTGCATAATTTTGGTTTGGTTGGTGAAATACAATCATGCGTCACATAAGGATGTTTCAGTCACTGATAGACCACATATATAACAGTGGTCCCATAAGATTAGTGCCCTATAACATAGGTGTGCAGTAGGCTGTACCATCTAGGTTTAGTGTAAGTACACTCTATGGTGTTGGCACAACGATGAAATCACCTAAGGATGCATTTCTCAGAATGTATCCCTGTCATTCAGCAGCACATTGACTGTATGGTGGGAAACAGAGCTGAAAGGTAGAATGGTACCATACTGGAAAGGACCTTAAATCCCAGGCCTAGGAGTTTGAATTTAACTGAATTAGCAATGAGCACCCATTAGTAGTTTTACCTTCTTTTGCACCTTTCCCCCTCTGCACAATCTTATATCTCCCCCAGTTGTCCAGGATTTCAGTGATCTAGTTAGCAATATTGCAAGAGAAAAGTGTCAAGTAATTTTGGAGGATGCTTGAGTGGCCTTTTTGGTATTTGCTCTGCTTCAGTCCTGGCATGCTTGTTGCTTTGCCTACATAGTAAACATTCTGGGATGCTGGTTTTGAAAACATTAAATTGTTGGATACAAATTTCCCAACGTAAATAAAGGCCTCCTTTTTAACTCTCTTCTTCCCAAATGCCTTACCTTCATGCTCTGTAAACTCCTCCACGATCTGGAGTATGTGTTCTCTATTTTTTGAACCAGGTGGCATTATTTCTTTATGGTGAAAATCCAATGCTTTAATACAGTCTCTTGGACAAGGATATGTCAGTAATTTCTGGCCATGGTCAGCAGACAAAAGTCAGCATGACTCAGCCCTAGTTTTGGAGAAATGAAGACCTTCTTTCCCCAGTGCATCTTTGGCACTGGCACAGACATCTAGAAACCTTGGGAAAATGCTTCTTGCCTGTGTTAGCTGCCTTTTGTCGTGGTGAACTATGAGTTACTGTGATTTCCATAACACCAAATCAGAACTGTCTAATTTGAAGGGGCTTGATTTTCAAAAAGCAATCTGTTATGAATTCCAGAAATTCACATGTGAAACGATTTCACATGTGTTAGTGGAATATTAATAGAAAGGGTTGGTGAATAGGAAATGTGAAGAGAGATGTGGTCCTCCCTAACCTGGGTTGAATTCTCAGGCTGAGATGTGGGTGTCACCCTAAGGAATCACCAATTTGGTAATTCGGGCAACTTGGGTGCCTGGGAATTTCTGAAAAGTCTATTTCAAGCTCTACTTTTAGAGTGTGAATATGGAAAGGGTCAGGGCCCTTCATTCCTTGGGACTAGTCCTTCAGTAGTATTATTTATTTTCGAGAGACCCAAAGCACTGTACTTTACCTGCCCCAAGTCAGAGCTTTTTCTGCATCTCTAAGAGGAAAGTTGAAGGTAATGCATTTCTTTGTTCCTGAAGAAAGGTGTGGAGTGAGCTATTTTTGTTTGTTTGTTTTGTTTCTTTTTTTGCTTTTTCCCTGGAATTTGGATGAACAGCGACTGATAAGGATTTTGCACAATTAATACCCAAGAACATAGCACAGAGCACAAGCTCAGCAAATACTCGTTCTTGAGGAAATCTAATTCCAAACTTCTCTTCACAGCAAGTGAGAAACAGATGGCGATGGTGTGCAAGGAGTCGCCAAAGGAGTATCTCCAGCCTTTCAAGGACAAACTAGAAGAGTTCTTCCAGAAAGGTAGGAGGCTGTGTCAGCTGTGCATACATGACACTCTGAAACATCACAGATCTTTCTCTGAGGCCCACTACCCCTTGCATCCTGCTGACCACTGGCAGCCCCAGTGATTCCATGAGTCAGTCTTCTCATGACAGTTACATACTCAATGTAGAGGGATTTGTCCTGTAACTTTTATATCATTTTTCAAATCCATTTTAATATTTTGAATTCTTTAATGTTACTCCTGTTTTTGTAAACATTTTTAAGGAAGACGTTTTTTTTTTGGCTCTTCATGGAGCCCAAGGGGATCCTCAGTACATGTTAACTGACAAATGACATATATGCAGTCATGCGTTTCAGATTTGCAATCAGCCTGGACAGGTGGGTGGTGATTATCTTCCTGGTTTTATGCATGTAGGAACTTGGAAACTTGTGTGGTATTTCCCATTCTTTTTCAGAAAGGAAAATTGTGGCCAGGTAAATGTCACACATGCAGTCACTTGGCATTCATCAGCCCTTTGGGGTTAGTAGACGGAACTGATATGCAGGAGACCCAGTACTTTTTCAGAAATCTTACCAAGTTATGTTCCTTCCTCCATGATTTTGGCAGGAATAGGGAACTTTGGTTGATCTCTGTTAGTGAACACGATAGTTTAATGCCTGCCGGATATTTCCTATTCTGATATCTCAAATTCAGCTTAAGATGTGAAACAAAAATAAGTGTGGGGCACAAACTTAGAGTTATAAAATAAGTAAGTCTTGGGGATGTAATGTACAGGCATGGTGACTATAGTTAATAATACTGTATTGCATATTTGAAAGTTGCTGAGAGAGTAGATCTTAAAAGTTCTCATCACAAAAAGAAAAAATTTGTAACTGTGTGGTGATAGATGTTAACCAGATTTATGGTGATGATCATTTCACAATATATTCATAAATCATTATGTCGTACACCTGAAACTAATATAATGTTATATGTCAGTTATATCTCAATAAAAAAAATAAGTGTGGAGTAGTTAGAAGGAGTTTTGGTCTTTGCCAGAAAATCAGAGGAAATGCGTGTAGGAACCTTTGGGGACATATCAACATGCTGTTTCTGTTTGTTAACGAGGCCACAGGATACCTCACCATCAACAAAAGACCATTAAGCAGGGTGAGTCCATAAAGTATGGCCAAACCACCTCGGGAATTGGCAAAGAAATTCTCAGTCTGTGAGTCAGAGGAACTCCATTCCAGCTGCTCCCATGGTGCAGAGATCATTGCTCCCTCTCCTTGTTGAGGGCTCGTTTTTATTGAAGCAGAAGTCAGAATTCTCTCTTGGCCATTGCTCACCTCATATATGATGGAAGTAATGCCATCAGACAGAGTACCATCTTGAGAGCAAACAGTGATAGCAACACTTAGGTGTTAGGTGACTGAAATTAGCTGGATTTTATATGTGATATGGCTTATTAAAGTAGATGCATTACTTTATGATTATGTCGTGTAGATATAACCTAAATGGCCTGAAGAAAAGCTTGAAGTATTTCTCTTTGCTATGTTAGCTGCTTCTCTACTAAGTTTCTCAAGAAACTTTTATTGCATTCTGAGTGAGGGAATTGAGTTGAGGCAAACGGGGCCTCACGTCAGGGAGACAAGGGTGTGACCACAATAAGTGATTCTAAGAAAGCTCTAGATCAGTAGTTCCAAAACCTGCACAGTAGAATCACCTGAAGGGTATTTTAAAAATTTTGACACCCAGGCCAAACTCCAGACCTACCACCAGCATCTCTGGTAGTGGGATCAGGCATGAGCATTATTTTTTACTCCCCAGGTGATTCCAGTGTGCAGTCCAGGTTGAGAACCAATGTTGTCTAGCTTAGTTCACCTTTTAATGTGTATTCGAAGATATTTCTTCAGAGCCTGCTATATGTTAGGCTCTGTGATAAATTCTGGGAATGCTGAGATGAATCGTATACTCCTTGTCCCTCTCCCAAGGACTGTCTTATTGAGGAAAGATCTACAGTTGAATAAAGGAGTCAGCTCTCCTTTAACCAACATAGTGAAGGGAAGATGGGAAGGACATTAGGAATAACCTCATATCATGGTTAAAAACGTCAACCAAGAGAAAGCACAAAAGGAAGTTGAAGGAAAATTGCCATTCTATAAAGAAAAAATGTAAAACTTAAATATAATATTGTAGGAATCTTAAACATCCCCAATGTTGTGTGGTAAAAAGAGCCACTGTTGAAATAGCCCATTAACTGTTATCTTGTTACTTAACTGAGTTGGTCCAAAAAGTCTAGAATTGTATTGTCCAATATGGTGGGCACTAGCCTCATGTGGCTGTTGAGCAGTAGAAATGTGGCTGAGCCAAATTGAGATATACTTTACTCTTAACACACACACCAGATTTTGAAGACTTAGTACCAAAAAAACACATAAAAATATTTCATTTCTTATTTTTTATATTAATTAAATCATAAAATGATAGTATTTTGAATAAATTGAATTAAATAAATAGACTACATTGTTAATATTGATTTCCCTGTTTCTTTTAGTTTTTATACATGGCTACTAGAAAATTTAAAATTATATATGTGGCTTGCATTATATTTCTGTTGGACAGTGCTAGTCTAAAGACATGGTCCCTTGGCCTTCTCATTTCATTCCTTCACTCTCCCCTGCATGTTATTGCTCTACCTTCTCAGCTTGAATCCCAGGTTATTAGAATGCAGTTTCACAAATTAGCTTCTTCCCACTTTTGCTCAGGGTCTGGCCATTGTTTGGCTCTCAGGTGGGGGTGCTTAAATGAAGGAGGTGACAACATGCAACTTCATCAGGCTACTCCTCTATGGTTCAGGAGGCAGGGCTTTGCCAAACTGCGGTATATACAAATGGAATATCACTTGACTACTCTGGAGTTCCAGATAGCAGTCCCTTTTTTATGTAGATGTTTCACTGATTCACAGAAAATGTAGGCTTTTCTACCCACCACAAATATGTATTATCCCTCCTGGATAATCAAATTTTTACAGCAGTTGTCACAGTTTTTAGTATAGTATCTCACCTAATATGCCATTCATTGTAAGAAACACTATTATTACAAGTACCACTAAGAAAGAAAAATTGCTGCCAATTAAACCATGGCATGTCATAGATTATAAGATGTACCCCAATATCAGAGATGGTAAAATATGAAAATTCCATCCATTTTGAAATTGATTTAATATAGTACTATAATTAGACATATAGGATCAGAGAGAAGGAGTGCCTAAGCACTTTCAGGTAAATGAGAGAGGACATTCAGCAAAAGAGATGTTTTTGTTCAGAGTTGAAAAAGAAATGGTGATGACAATGATAGCTCACGTTTACTGAGTGCCGCTGTGTACCAGACACTGTGGAGAGCAGATCCTCTTTTTTTAGTCCTCATGACAACCCTCTGAAGTAAGCACTGTTATCACCCTGTTGTACAGGAGGAAATTAAGAATTAGGAGTTCTCAGTAGACAAGATATAAAGGGCAATTCCCGGCAGAGGAAAACACTGCAAATCTCGGGATGAAAGACATGACGTGTTTGGGGAATGGCAAGAGACTTGGTGTGGCTACATCACAGGGCAAATGGAAAGAACACAACACCAGAAAGGAGAGGAGGGTCACAACATGACTTGCTAAAGAATCTGAACTTTGTGTCACAGGCAACAGAGCCTGTTGACTCATATATTTGAAAAATAGTATGTATGGGAGTGACATCGTCACATTGGTTTGGTTTTGTTTTGGTGTGTGCGATCATTTTGCATTTTGTCGTTGTTAAGAAATACATTATAACTCAGAGCAATGTAAAGAAGAACTGGAATAGTAAAAGGCTAGAAGTCAGTGTACCAAGCTATTCTCTGGTAGTCCAGGCAATTGATGGTAAGAACTTGAGCAAGAGCAATCACAGCAAAAATAAGAAAGGAAGGGACGCGAATAGAAAGCTTTTAGGAGTCATAGGACTAGATAACACAATGGAAGTGCAAAAACGAAGGAGAAAATGATAACTCTCCTTTCTCTTACTTGGATAACTGGCTGGATACTGATGAGGAGCACCAAATCTGGGATGGAAAACGATAAGGTAAACTCTGGACACTTTGATTTGACATACATGAGACACACAGCTGGAGATGCTGGGCTCGTAGGAGACCTCTGGGTCGACTTGAGGTAGCAGTTTGTCATAGGAGTGAATGAGATAGCCCAAAGAAAAGGTATAGAATGAGAAGTTCCTGAAGTATCCGAGTATCTGAGCACAGGGTGTAATGTAATAACCATAAGTAAGAAAAGATGCTTCTATACTTCCATAATATTTGAGTATTTGGCAGGAAAGCCAGTTTTCTGTCAGGGGTCTTATTTATAAAGTCTTAAGCAATCACGTTCTTTATGCCTGAGAAGTCACACGCATGCGTTGTGGCCAGTTGATTCATGGTTAGGCTAAATTTTACACCAGCTGCAATTCAGTTCTTCTAACAATCATGATTTTAATTTCTTTTGTAAATCATATCCTGTTGCCACCCTCAAGAGGAGATGATGTGTTCATCCTTACTTGTTTTATCATCCTTCCCTTCTCAAAATGCCCTTCAATAGCGTTATTTGACAAAACTATGGTACTTGTTCTTAACTAATTTCATTACCTGCACAAAATCAAAAGTAATTTAAATGGCACCACTTTTCAGAGTTGCAATCTCCACAATATCTAAGCCTTTTTCCTGACATGGTTTTTCTTTTCCACTGTAGGCTCTTATTGATTCCGTTTTACAGCTCAGTTCAGAGTAACTTGTCCTGGTATTATTTGAGCTCTTGTTTTCCCACCCTCAGATCAAACATGGCCATAATGATAGGGCCTTCAAAAAGGTGATGCTCACATTAAAAGTCCCCATAAACATGGCAGGGATCCTGTAATTGAAAGACGGCGCAGAGCAACTGATTAGATTCAAGGAATAGATCTTGTAGGTGGTCTTTTCATGCTGTTAAATTGGTCATTTGTGTTTATAGCTTTGGCAGGGAGGG